GCCAGCAGCTGGGCTCAGTCTGTCCTCCTCCTCCCCACAGGCACTTTGCACCCGCTCTACTCGCCTCTCCTGCAGTCTCTCCTGGGCACAATAAAAGGGAAGATATGGCTCACCCTGGGGGGTTTGCCTGGAGCTCTGTAAAAAACAAACTATCCCAACAGAGACTGCAGGACAGGGGCAGTAAATGTTGGTGGGTAAACTGGCACAGAGGTAGGTTGGTAATGGGATTAAAACAGGTGAAGCAGCCAAATGGAATGTCAAATATACCAGAGGGGTGCATAAGATTAACTAATGTTTGGCCACAACCTCCCTATAGTGGTACATTTAATAAATAAATAGACTGATCGGACATACTGGTAATTATTTTAGACATTATACCTTACAAACATGTTTTGGTAGCACTTGTATAATAATGGCAAAACTAGTTTGAATTGTCATAGATCATTTTACTCCATTATGCCCACATTTGGTTACACCTTGATTTAGATTTTAAATTGTGGTATTCCAAAATAGTGGAGATTTATTCATATATTTGATGAATAGTTTGTGACAACATGCGATTAAAGCTAATATTTTTTACTTCATATCAGTTTGAGGGCGTTGCATGGTGGTTTGATGGTTGGCACTTCCATATCCCCGGGTACTGTAGGCCTTTCTGTATAGAGTTTGTATGTTCTTCCCATGTGTACATAGGTTCTCACCGGGTACCCCAGATTCCTCCAAAAACACACATTAAGTTAATTGCCCATGGGAGGGTGTGAGAGTGTGTGATTGTTTGTCTCTGAGAAAAATCTGTAATTTATTTTACAATCATGCTTTTATTAAAAACTATTCCGAAAAGACCATAAAGTTCCCAAAACAAACTGTTTTTTTAAGTCAATGAAATCACTCATGAATCCTAATCCAAAAAATAATGTTGCTGGAGGTATTCTTTGGAAACCTCAGGATTTTTTTAGGCACTTGGTGCTCTGTTTGCACAAATTCAAAGCAATTTATATTTACACTGGGGACTTCCTTTTCCTTCACTTTGCTCTGATGGGCGTCTTCAGAATGCAACCCCTCGGGAAAATATGGGGACAGAGTGGGTAGTGGAAGTTAAATTGGCTTAAATGTGCAGACAAGCTTAAATATATAGTCACACCCTTGAGTTAAAAAGAAAAACCTTTTAGAACTTGAGCTAAGCCTTGGGAGTAAAGCTGAAAGAAACATTCTTAACATCTCTGATGAGATCAATGAGAGCAAAAAAAAACTGTGAAGCATTTAGACTGGATGCATAAAAAAATCATGAAATATTTTGGGGTTAGTTGCAGGCTCTTGACAAGTATTGTGTTTTGAGTTTATATACAAACCAGCATTATTTCACTACTATGAGATTGTAAAGATTTTTTCTTTTTTTATATCCTTAAGTCTGCATTCTGGCTTACTGGAATGACCTTAAACATTACATTGCACACATTTGCAAGTTAATATGCTTTGGCTACAATCTAAATTGTATTTTGAGCCATCTTTTTTTTAAACAACTGGATAATCATTTTGAAAGCTCACAGCATATGGAACGAATGGAATAGAGTGAAGTAGGATGTAGCAAAGCTGTTACTACTATGCTAATATGAAGAACTATGGAAGATTTTGTGAAGACAGGAAAGAACAAAAAGGTATCTTTATGAGATGTTTGTGACATGCAAGGCTTCGGTGAAGTAAGCATTTTGGTTTGTGGTCACCCAGTGCTATATAATAACCTACTTCTCATTCGCTCCCAAAGCTAATCTGAAGCAATTCTTTTTTTAAATATCACTGAAAAATCATTTCAATAACTACTGGCAATATGTGCAATATTTGTCTTTTCTTAATATCTTCTTAATACAATCTGTTGCTCAGCTTTACTCAGTGCTTGGCAAAAACATTCATTTTCCCCTTAAACAGCCTCACATGCAAACCACACACATACCTTTGTACCATAAACACAGAAGTAGCTGCTCAGCTGCCTATACACATTTAGAAGCGCCACACCGGACCAATAACGCTGCTGATTCTTAAGAAAGCGTCTACGGTCTGACAGAGGGGGAAATAAAACAAGCCTACCACCTCTGATTTCAGCCTCTCCTCACAACAGTACAAGTGTTGCAGAGCGTTTCCATTTTTGAGCCCAACCATGAAGCTGTATGGTCTGTGTGCTCGAACATCACACAGCCTGATTCAGCACAGCGGGTGCACACACAGTGGAACCAATTTCACTGCTTTGAGTGCAGTGCAAATCAGGATATTATCAGCAGTGTACACAGTAAAATTTTAGAAATAAGAAAAAAAAAACCCAGAATGAGCCATTATACTCAGGAATGTGCAGGTATGCACACACATAAACCTTTCTACCTCCCTCACTGGCACTCTGAATGGGTCTCATTCAGACTTACCAGCATGGTTGGCAGCCTTGGCCACGGCTGAATCTTCTTAGTCCTGCTGATGGGCTGAGATGAGCTAAAGTGGTAAGCCTGTCTCCATTTACACTGAGGAGGCAACGGGTCTGTCACACGACTGGTCAACATATGCTACAGGACACAGCTGCTCCTCTCATGTCTTTTTGTTAATTTGGATAGGAAACCTCAGTGGGATAGCCGATTTAGGCCATTAAGAGGGTGTGTGTGTTTATGTGTGATTAGGAGGAGGGAGGAATACTAAGTTTGTCTACACTTGGGTTTTTCACTCTCTCTCTCTCTCTTGACCACTCATAATTATATACACAGAGAGAGTAGACTTTCTGGACTCAGTCCAGATGAAGGGTTCTTTGCTGAGCTAGTGTGACATCAAAGGCTGTTTTATCCATTGGCTTTGCGTGACGTCAAATCCCCATCAAGTACCACTACTCCTGGAGCCTTTATCCATGTTTGGAAATGGCATTTTCCAGACATATTAGTGGTTGGCAGAAAATGTAACACTTTCCGTCCTACATTTTTTATTCTGGACAACAATAAAGCAAGAAAATGTCCATATGAAACACAAAGGAGAATTTATACATACAGTGCAAGGCCTTTTCATGGTTAATATGGAGACAAAAATATTTTCTGAGAGCATTTTTGTGTTGGTAGATTAAAAAACAATTTTCTCAATATGTTGTTTATTGTTTGACTTGAAGACTGCAGAGGACTTTATATATTATTGTCAAGCTGTAAGTGGTTCTTTCTGCTTTACCAACCACAGATTAAGATACAGCATCTTCAGTGACATTTAAACTTGCTTTGTGAAGATGAGGAATCTACATGATTATATACTAACAGTAAAAACATGTTATTTAGTGAATGAGAAGCTTTCCATATAGCTTTACCAGTTGCCTAGTCTCTTTTCTGAATGTATTTAAGATTTCGTTTTGCTCTACCACTTGATTAATTTAAATAATAAAATGGTTCATTATTAAACACTTTCATCCATGCAAACAAAATTCCATATTCCATATCCTCATTTTATGGAAAATACCTTTTACTGCAGTGGATCTCTAGCAGTACTAAGTGTTAGCATTGATTTAGATCTTTTGAAGTATATATTCAAGACACATTTTTAAATGAACACCAGTCTCTTGAGATCTGTCTGTATGTAAAATGCTCTCTGAAAATACATTTGCTAACAAGCTAAACATAATTAAGACAACATAATCATACAGTTTATTGATGAGGTCAAAGGAGAACAGACTAGCTTTAGAAGCAAAATCATCTTATTGTGTACATTTGTTTTTCTCTGGCTTTTATCTTGGGATTAATAAGCAGAACCAGATTCATGCAGGAGCTGACAGGTTAAAATTGAACTTCTACCTCACATGTAAATTACTCTTGATTATACAAGGATCCCATGAACATTGCCCAACACAGTCGATAGCAGCTGTTAAGTGCAGGCATCCTGGGAATGTGACAACAGGTTAAACACAAGTGGCAGCTGAGACCCCTGCCAGAGAGGGCTCAAAAGGACACACAAAGCCTTTCACACATACAGGTCTGCCTCCATACTAAGATCATATAACAGAATAAATATCTGCTTTTAAGTGCCAACTTAGTCCGTCCTAAAGTCATTCACAGTTGTGTTTTTTTTCAAATGTTTTAAATCTGGCACCATTATTACTTTTTTACATGATTTTTATGTGAAACATTACAGATTCGAGTTTGTGTGAAGGAGAGGTTGTTTCTTTATACTATACTGTGCAGACTAATAAAATCAATTTACTTCACAGCAGACTCTCGTGGTCGGTAGCAGATCCTGCTTGTATAACAGACTTGTGAAATCAAACTGAGTGATCACATACCCTGTTTTTGCGAAGATGAAAGCAATCCATGATCCTCTACCATATCCTGGATAGAGCCATGAAATGAAAACTCAGGCAGCACTCAGAATGTCTGCAGAGCTGGCTGAGCCAGCATACAGTATCCTACCACATCCTGTGTTTCCACACACACATGCACACACACACACACACTGCTGCTCGCTTCACTGAGGGAAAAAGCAGTTGAAATCAGTCTTTGAAAGAGATGGTTATGCTAATTAAGCTTTACTGGATTAGGAGGAAAATAGTCTCCCTTGTATGCATCTGGAAACTTTACCCTCATGGAAGGAAGGAGAGGGAAAAAGTGTGTGTGCCTCTGTTCATGTGTGCAAGTGGGTGTTCCTTAGTGGGACAGGGGGCAGCTGTTGCTGTCCAAAAAACAGTCAAGCAGCTTTTGTCATAGGAAAAAAAAGCTTTTTGTAATCTTAACCCAATCCAACTCACAAACACATACTGTGTATATGTATATACATTCCCTAATTAGGAGGTGCACAGCAGTTCATGGGGACATCTGGACTTTAAATGGTACAGAAAAAGGTTAATGCACACTGTCTGTTTCACGTCAGTGAGTCAGATGGGGAAATAAGCAAAGATGGAGAGAAAACCAACTAAGACCCAGTGACCAAGGAACTGTGCAAAACAACAAACATAAAAAGGTCGCAGAGAGGCAGGGGAAACGTGTGTATATGTCTCTTACCTCCACTATCTCTGTGCTGGCATGAGACACGAGCTGCTGCTTGTGGGGATCTATGACAGCCACCTGGACCACAGCATTGGGCTTCCTGTCTCTGCCCGAGGCCACCAGATCATTACAGGCTACACAGAGGAAGAGATGGAGAGAGGGAGAGCCAAGAGGGAAAGGGGGAAGAGGGTAGAGAGGAAGAAAGAGAAGCGGGTGAAATATGACAGGGGAAATAATCCCCGAGAATAAATGACACAAGTCACGGGATGCTGGGTCACAGAGTTATGACAATAGCATCACAGTAAATAAACACAGAAGAAGAATAAAGAAAAACACCCACAATGTGGTAGTTCATGATCCTGTCCTGTCAGATTAGCTGTCACAAGTGCTAAAGATCTGCATCACCACAGAAAACTGTTAAATGAGATGTATGCACCAAGCCTTCAAACCCCAATTCACAAAGGACTGAAGAAATAAATAAAATGTGTACACTGAGATATGGAATTTTGCTCCCTAAGCAGCTGATTAAGATGGCAGCCAAGCAACCAGAGCTCCGAGTGGCAGTGCGATATCTGTTTTACCAGGGCTTACATTTATCACATCAAAAGCAGTGCGTCACTCATTCAAGGACAGCACCATCACCGCCATTATCGCTTAATCATGATCTAAAAGCAGGCATCCATGATGTCACAACTGATACTTTAGAGCGTGTGTGTACAAAAGGGGTCAAATTGGTGCATTTAAGGAGGAATAATACACACCAATGATGGTGCAAAACACCTTATCTTAAAAAGAAATAACAGGAAGCTACATCTTCAGCATGTGTTTCACAGCTGCGCTGGGAGCAAAAGTTCATTTTTTATTATAATGATTGCTCGACATTTGTGATTTTCACTTCAGCTAACAGAAAAAGTGGCACACAGACATTACATATATACATATTTGTGTGTGTGTGTGTGTGTGTGTGTGTATGTATGTATGTATATGTATGGTTATTTTCCAATTTTGTTTTCCATTTGTTGAATTAATTATATCAATTAGTATAGATTAGTTTTAAGTTATGTATAATGACTGAGCATGAAATTCTTCACTTGTTATTACCCTTCATAATATTATGGGTATTAACACAAGGCCAGTTTCAAGCACAGAACACATTGAGGGGGACACATGAAGTGGAGTAGTATAGATTGATTCAGCAACCTTTTGGCTGAAATATGTTCCTGAGCTACAGCCGCCTCAAGCAAAGTCTTCAAACATCCAGACTCGAATAGGAAGGAAAGCCGTGTTTAAAGGTTGATGATTCAATTCGACGGCCCAGAGTCTTTACACACAATTGCACTGTTGAATGTGGGGGTAATTCCTGCACAATGGACCTTGTTATATATAAATTTTCTCATCGTAAACTTAGAGTCTGCCTCCTACGTTGATGAGACGTCATTAAAATCACTGTTGTACTGTCAGATTGTTTTATTACTGTACTAAAGTTCAGCTAAAATCAAAGAAAAAAAAGAATTGCCTTTATTTGATCCTCTCAACCTGTTAAGTGCTGCCCTTACAAATGCTCAATTTTATATCAACAGCTTTTTAAAGCAAGGAATAAAAGACAGGGGATGTGACTATTGTGATCACATCTGCCACCCCAAAAAAAAAAAACGTGCATTCAATCTGCTACACATGTCGGTCTGAATTAATGAATTCATATTTTTTTATGTACATCTCAATGACACAGCTTTGCTCAGAAATCTCCTTTGATGCACCCACAAGCCGCATCTTATCTGTCCATCTAAATACGAGCATGTGAGCAGGGAAGAAAAAACATTCGCTAAAATGTCAACTTTGTTTTTATCCCAAGTACAGAAGGAGTTTAACGCAGTCTTTGATCTGTTAAGTGAGACGTGGATTGAGATAAGCACTCATTTCTTTCGGTGAAAAACTGTTCAGGCGTATCATCAAACACTTTACCCTTAATTAAACACAGACACATTGACGGCATACTGTAAAGTTTACTTAATGATGTTGGTGACACAAATTACAAGCAAAGCGACAATCAACGACTGAAAGACCTCTCTTTGGCTATTTCAAGAACATTTACACAACAAAGGAGCATTTGTCTCATTTATTTGAAAAAAGCAAGGCAATAAAATGTTCTGGGTCCTTTTGTGTTTTCTGTAGTTTTGCTCTCCCTTTTGTTTCTCTCTAGTAAGAAAATAGTTTTGTTATAATTTATTGTAATGTATAATAGAAGAACTATTCAGTCCTTTGACAAAGATTTTTACAACTTTAACGCCAATATATTAGTCAATTTATTCAATACTAATTTCAAACCAAATTGCCTTTCCGTTTGCTGCTATAAAAGATAGATGTGTCAGCGTGATAAATAACAGTGAGAAGTCAGGAGACAGGAAAAGATAATTATCTTCATTCACAGAGAAAATATCTACTTTGGTAATTGATCATTTTGTACGGAATGTTTGTCCATTTTATAAGCTCCACTAAGATGGAGCTGAAGGTCAATTTATATCACACAAACCTCAGTACATATTTACCATGAAAACTAAGTAAGACTTTGAGACAAAATTAAGTTTATATTTGACATCCAATATGTGTTCTGTATGTTACACATAAAGTACCCTGTAAATTACATCTATTGTCTTTGGAGAAAAAAGCAAACTCTTAAAAATCGAAATGATTATGAATGTTAGCTGGAGTCTTTATCTTTAAGCCTATAAAGCTTATAAAAAACCGAAATTTGAGAAAACATGGTATGGCTGCTTAATTCTCTAGCCGTCATTGTCAAGTTTCAGTGTTCATAATGCACACACATCAGGCTTTAGACAGAGATGCACACGGCATTATGTTACACACTTAATATCATTCAGTGTTTCTGTACTTTATGCATAATAAAATCTAACATACACTAATGAGCTATTCCTCCAGTCAGACAGACAACACTCAATTTCTCACTCTACACATACAAATGTACTTCATAGACATTATTGATCCCACAAGAGAAACTGTTAAGATGTCTTGCATATAGTTATCAATCCTAGAAAGCAAAGCTTCCACATGAACAGTAAAAGGACCAAGGAGACAGACAGCTTATTGCCTAATTTTGCATATTTAGGCATATGTAGAGTCACATAGAATTAATTGACTATTAATACTCCATCAAGCCAGCTCTGTAAAAATCTTTGTCTTGCCATATTAAGCTTACAAGGTTCTTTTATTCAGTCATATAAACTGCCTGTAATTAAGTTCAGATGACAACAGCACATTTCCACCTAAGATTGCCTTCATTGTCCTAGCAGGTTTGATCTAAATGTACAGAGCACAGAGGATGACACAAATTACCATTACAAATCTGTAGGGAGCACTGAATGAGATGTTGCTACATCAAGGACACACAACACAATTTAAGCTTGTACATAAGGTTTTTATTCATGAGGTTGTATCAGAATCAGAAATCAATTTAATGACCAAATGTACAGAGTACACCGGAATTAGACATGGTATCCCAGAGCAACAGGAAATATCTAAATAACAAATTTGAAAGTAGCAAAGAAAAGATACATATGTTATTTTCAGGTGGTTTTAGGTGACTGTATCTTTTAAGTGTCTGTAAAAGGGTGGACCTGTCCTTATCTAAGAGGGTGGTGGCCTGGGGGAAAAAATATTCAGGTGCCTTGTGGTTTTGGTCCTGATGGACCTGAACCTTCGACCTGATAGGAGGAGTGTGAACAGGGAGTGAGCTGGATGAAATGGGTCCCCAGAGGATGCAGGGTACCACACAGTGATGGAGGAGGTGAGAACACTCTCAATGGTGGCTCTGTAGAAGTGGGAGCGAACCTTGGGGGAGACGTTCATCTTGCAGAACAGTCTGAGGAAGAACATCCTCTGATGCGCCCGCTTGATCACCTTGGACAAGTGGGCGTCCCACTTGAGGTCTCTGGTGATGGTAGTGCCCAGAAACTTCCCAGAGTTCACCACCTGAACTGCTTGCTGAACTGTTGATGAGAGGTTGGGGCTGGAGGGGAGGTTGTCTGCGGAAGTCCATGACTGTGACCACTGTCTTGTTGATGTTGAGCTCCAAGTTGTTGCATGCACACCAGGCTGCCATCTGTCACACCGTGCACCCTGTACGACGTCTCATTGTCATCCTTGATGAGGCCCAGGACTGTGGTGTCATGCGCAAGCTGGACCAGTTTGATGGATGTGTGGCTGGAAATGCAGTCATTGGTGTACAGGGGGAACAGGTATGGGGGAGAGGACACAACGTTGTAGGGCATCGGTGTTGGTGGTGAAGGGGGCCGAAAGGAAGCTGCCAACCAGAGCTATAATCCACGAACAGGGCCCTGATGTAGGAGCTTGGCTGGTCCAGGTGCATCAATGTGTGGTGGAAGCTGAAGTCGATGGTGTCGTCAACAAAGCGATTTGCCCTGTAGGCAAATTGTAAAGCGTCCTGTGATAAGTTTGAGGTAGGACAGGATGAGGTTCTCAAAGCTCTTCATGACCAAATATGTCAGGGCGACAGGGGTGTAGTCATTCAGTCCTGTTATCCTGTCCTTCTTTGCAACTGATATGACGATGGATGTCTTGAGACAAGGTGGCACATATCTTGGATAAAGTGTGAAATTACTCATTCACATTAATGAGTTTAACTTGTAGATAGATATAACCAACTAACAAACAGTAAAAAAAAGATAATTAGATGAAAAGTCGCAAATTAAAATGACCTCAGGTTAATTAAAACCAAATTTAAACTTTTTCGAAACAACCAAATGTACCAAATGTCAAAATCTGAAACATCTGTGTGATACCGATACTGATAAAAACAGTCTTGTCTACTACATTCAAACCATGTGACATCAATTTGAAAATTGTCTTTTGATTCTATTAGACTAAATTACATTTTCCAATTCCTCCAATTCTCCAGGGTTTGTCTCAACATGAGTCACGAGGATTCAAAAGTTCCGTATCTGATTCTGCAATATTCAACTCAGAAGTATTCTCACATCCTTAACAACGCTGTTTTAACATTCCCTTTAGAGCTGAGACGCTTTGTCTGAATATGGTCTTAAAAACAGCAAGATTCAGTCAGCAGGGTTCCCACTTCAGGAGGGAGCACAGACTGAAATGGAGGAAAGAAATTCATGTGATAAAAAGGCTAAAGAAAAGGGGTAAAGATCTGTTTCTAAAATACCGTTAGATTTTTTGTTGCTCAAAACTTATATGTGGGCTCATTCTGTAATGGTTCGTGTGAACAAAACCCTTCGGTGGAAAAAAATAAAATAAATTGTGAATCCATCACAGCCCGACTTGTTTCCCCAAGATGCAATCACACGTCTGCTTGCCAATGATCAAAAGAAGATCCTACAACTAAAATCTCACAGGATTTACAACAAGACAATAAAACAGTGCGTCCAAATGATGCAAAGACGACACTCGAGAGAAGGAGAGAGAATAAGAAGCAGCTCATGATCCCAAACACGACACCTCAGAGTTTTAAATACAGATCAGTTGTGGCTTGGGAGAGTCCTGGTCAGAATTACTGGTACCACTTAATCTGAGTCAATTTAGAATGTGCATGTTGAAAATAAAGAAATGCATATCATCCAGTTAAAGCTTTTCCGTGCATTGGCTCTGCCTCATGTTTTTAAAGAAGGCATCCCGGTTAACCTTTAAAGCCCAGCGCCTTTGGATGTTTTTCAAGAGAAAAGAAAAATCTAACACAGTGAGGTTAGGATTGTTCAACATCTAAATGAAAAATCTAAATGCAAAACATGCCAAGCTTGTAGTACAGGAAAGTTTCAGTTTTTCTCAAATTGCAGTAAACTCAGCTATATGTAGAAGCAGTTTCACACCAACACTCCAAGGCTTTTTCATAGTTTTTCTGGAGCCACTTCTGAGTTTTCCAGGTGGTAATCCTGGTATTTGACCCTTTTAATGACCCATCTCAAATTCCCAGGAGAATGAGAAATGTATTTTTACAAGAAAAAAAAAAACATCTGCCTGGCTAATCTACTAAAAGGTCTGTGTAGTTCTGTCTTCACAAAGGATCTCACTCATAAAGTCCATTTTCTCGCTGGTTGCTTGTCTGATCAAGGGCATTTATCATCATTAGTCAGTTTAGCTGAACAGCCAGATTTATGTAGTTTTAACTGCTCTAAACATCTTCCATTTGATAAATGTGCTGTATGTGCCGAGACAAAACCTGCTTCACCATTCTGTCACATGATTCTCTCGACATCATGGCTCAGTTCTTAAATCATTCATATATTCAATTTCCTTTATAATTTAATAGTTGATATACACTTAATTATTAACTGTTTAAACTTGGAAATGTATCTCAGGGAGGTAGAATAACTCAATCCGTAAATCCAAACGAAACAAGAGGGTTTTAAGACCTAACTTTAGTGGGACGTTAGTGTCTTCTTTTACATTATAATAATAAAGACTTCCATCAGTTTGTTGTTGCTTTGTACACTTAAGGTCCGTGTAGAAATAGATGAAAGTTAACCTAATCATTTGACAAAATTGGAAAACTTGGAAAGGTCATAATGTGGAGATATTCAGGGAAGATTATTTATTATTTTATTATGCTTCAATTATACAGTATTATGTATAATGCAAACATTTGGATTACACTTGGTTCATTTCTGTCTATGTGATCACAAATTACAATGGCCATGTTAAATTATTATAACAGAGAATTATAGAATTCACTTAATGCCTGAGCTAATAGGTCAGTCAATGGAGGATGACACATCCCTCGACCACTTGCCTCAAACTTTTGAACTATGTAAAAACAGATTGTGTTGTATGTCAGAACATAGTCAACAAATGCCCATAAGATCATTTAAAATGTTACACTGTTTGCTAAAGAGCTGGTACAGATTTCTTCATGTGTCAAGGGACTTTGGTTTGGCCAACAAAGCAAACAACGATCAATATGAATATTGTTTTTCCACTTAACCTAAAGTTAGGTACACTGGAGTATTTAATTTTTTACATAGATAAACAGATTTTGTGTTACTGTGTGTGGTAATAAAATCACAGCAGTAAGAACTAGATTTGCACACATTTTTAATTAAAATGAATCATTCAAAGATTATGCTTTTATGATACAAAATAACAAGACAATGTATAACCAGTGGAATAGAACCTGCTATTGCTCACAAGGTGTATTGATAATCGTAACAGTACATTCATTTGAAATGATATATACATTAAATAAATATAATTTTAACATTAGGCTATATCACAATGTCGGGGCAACTCTTTTGTGATGATTACTGACTGTGCATCCAATGGTAGATTTCAGTGTATTGTAATATTAGAGATCTGAACTAATGTACTGTAAGTTCTAGGTAAAAACAAAAATTGATTTGCAAATCCCAGAAACAATCTTTTGAAACAAAACAGTACCATTACTTTCTGAAATCAGATTTGAGCTGATCAACAATAGTCATAGTCTGTTTCATGTTTTATGACAGATGGTGAGAGGTCTGGATTTCAGACAGGCCAGTCCAAACTATGAACTATATACACTCTGTACTACGAACACCTCTGAGGTGAACAAATGTAATAATAATAATAATAATACAATTTGATTTTGCCTCAGACCACCAACTGTTCTAAATGAGCTAAGGTCCAGAGAAGACAGCAGCTTTTCTAAGTCATGTTCACCTCTGGCTTTTTCTCTGCACAGCAGAGCTTTATACTGCATTTATGGATGCCCTGGTGAACTGTGCTCAAAGACAATGGTTTCTGGAAGTGTTCCTGAGCCCATGACAGACTCATATCTGTTTTAATGCAGCCCTGCCTGACATCATGAACACTTAATATTGATTTTCAGCTGTCTTCTTTGTGCGCAGTGGTCTCCAGATTCTCTTAATCTTTTGATGATATAATATACCTTAGGTAATGGAATACTGAAAGTCTTTACAATTTCACACTGTGGACCATTATTTTGTAGCTACCACATTATTTTTTTTAGACAGTTTTTTGACAGACTGATGAATCCCTGTCCATCTTGACCTTCTACAAACTCTGCCTGTATAAGGTGTTCTTTTTTTTACCTAATCATGTCACTGAAATTTGGCTAAATTAACCAATTAGTGACAGAAGGTTCCTCCAGCTGTTTCTTCCTAGTCACTTATCACTTATGGGTCCGCCATCATTCTCAATAAGCAAGAGCCATTAGAAGATGGATTTTCTGTGTTCCACTGTAAAGATGTTTTCTATGTTACACTTTTATAACATTCTTACTTATTCCCCCTCTAGAAGTTTTTATTACAATGAAAATATTAATATGATCCATCCATTCTCTGACTGGCTTATTCCAAAATAGGGTCCAGGGGGACCCAGTATTCAATGGGCGAGAGGCTGGGTACCCGCCAGTCTATCACAGGGCTATTTATTTGATTTTTATCCTTTTGTAAATTAGCTATTTGCGGTAGTTTTGTATGCCATGTATGCTGCTCTGTATTTTACTTTTTCTTGTGTAAAATAAAAGAATAAGTAAAGAAATAAAAGAAAAAAAAGAAATAAAAGCGATGGTTGCCATGGGAGAAATGGACAGAATATCTCACAGCACAGAAAAGGTCATGCACCTATTGTCTCCTCCAGCTCCATATAACCCCACCTCATATTTCAAGATGTGTGCTGGGTCTTTTGAACTTGCACTGAAGGAAGTCTGAAATTTTTGTGCAGTGGGAAAGTTTTTTTATGCAGAGGAAAAATTTTAAGAAGTCATATATATTCTTATAATAAACTTGTCCATACTTGGTATACACACAGCATATACACAAAAACATGTATTCTGACCTGGTATCTATGATGTTAGTGATGCAGGTGCAAAAAGAGCTTTCAGTATTTATTCATTTCTGCCCTTTCAGCTGTGATTGATTGTTAAAAGACACGTTCAAAGCCTACACTTTTGTTTTGAATATTTTCCCCCAAACAATGTTTACTTTCTGAAAGGCCTGTAAGACTTGCAACCAGCAGATAAGTTGTTGCCTGCCCCACAATGGTGCACTTGGAAATGTATGCTTGACAAGCCAGGTGATTTACAAGTAACTATATACATTTTGGTAACTGAAAATAAAAGACCAGTCATGTATCACCAGAGTGGATCTCTGACAGCAAGCCATTGCTTGCCCCGATCCTGTAGGTCAGCACTCTTATGACTGTGGGCGGGGGTGGCAGGAAAGGGAAACAGAGAGTGTGACAGAGAAAATGAACAAGAAAATCCCTTAGAGAGACTTTTAGAGTTTAGAGGAAGGAA